ATATAGTACTATAGAGTATCCTTCTTTTGTAAGGGTATGTATGTCCTTCATTGCCAGGCCAACGGTGAGCGCAATGCAAACACACACATACGCACATCCTAGAGTGTGTATGTGCGTTGTACAAATGAAATGAAATATTACGTATACGTCACGTCGGTCCATTGGCCAGCAAACAAACACACACACACACACAGGCAACTGAAGTTGCCCGCTGGGCGGTGTATTTACCAAAGTTATTGTTATACTCGATCCGCTGAACACCAGCCAATGCCTGCACCTATTTTCTTTATAGGGGATTACGCATATGGAAAACATTTTCTGAGGGTTTTCACTACCACTTACTGCTGGGTGAATTTCCATTTCAGACATATTTGGCTAATAATAAATAATTTTGAACTTATTAGCTTTTGATTTAATGCATTTTAATAACATATTTCATTGCCTTTGTTATTAAAAACAATAAATTACCATAACTTTCGATAGCGTCTAAGCAATCAGCGACTAAACGATTAATTACTAAATAATAATTATTTCGATGGTTTAGCTAGCCAATTGCCTGATTTATTACATTTATCTGCGTATTGAAAAAACATAATTTAAAGCACTTTTATTACTTGCAGAAAAATAATATTATAAAGAGAAATATTAAATTTAAAAAATGCTTCAATCAATAAGGCGGTTATTTATGCGTTTAATCCTTTTATTGCTTTTGGTCTGCAGGCTCAGGTCACGAGGTCACCGCTATTAATAAAAATAATTGCCTTAATCATGCGAAATAAAAATGAAAAAGCCATAAGTTGAGATATCTAATAAATAAAAACGATATATTTAGATTTTAGCTAATTTAAATTAATATTCTTACTAAAGTGTGATAGAAATATTATTATTATTTGATATTAACAGATTGCAGAGACTTTAAGCTGGCCATTAAACCACTGCCAATTGCAGTGTAGAAGAATTTATTGTCGAGCAGCGAATCGAAGCACAAGCCGTATAAACGTGGCCAATTAATCGCAGCCCCCTGCATTTCAGCCGATAAAAAGCCACGACTCGAGCGCACTTAAATCGCGCATAAATGAGTAGTTAAAAGATTGCCACACACACACTCACACCATACACACTTTGGATTGATTGATGGACTTTGCTTTGTTCCCATTGAGGCCATTCGAGGGCCAAGAGCCAATTGCTATAGTTTGACTGCCATTGAAGTGCTCTAGGACTCGGGTTAGGGGGTCTGACTGCCCAATTTGACACTTTTTATTGAGCTGTTTTGTTTTGCGATCGGTGGAAAAAATTTCAATTTGCTATCCGGATGGGTTGCCAGGGACATGTGCACGCAATCTAAAACTTGTATGACAACGAGACACTACTGCACCCATTGCTTGTGTTTCAATTTGGCCCTCCCGTTGCGCTGATTGTCTATTTGCCAGTATCAAAAAAAAAAAAAAAATAGAGAAAGAAGAAAACTCACAAAAATTCGTGAAAAAAATCCCAGCTATTCAGGCGTTTGTATAGAGTATTTTGCAACTGCAAACAGGACTCACCGCGAAGCGAGTATGAAACACGAAACGCAAATGTTAAATGTCAGTAAGACATGCAAAGATACTGTCACACATTGCGGCCTGTTCGATATGGCGGATGTCGGATGGCGGCTGGCGGAAAGGATAATGCAGGGCTCCATTATATTTTCGGGCCCATCGCATTGATTGACTTTCACATATGTCCTTTTGAATCTCGACCTGCTGCCCTGCAGGAGGGCGGGGGCGGTGGCCATTACAAAAGGACCTGCGCTCGTGTGTTATGACAATTTATTGCCTGGTGTTTGACGAAATTGAATAGCCCCGGCGTTGGATATTGTTGGCTTGGCACATAGCATATACCATATACCATATAGCTTATAGCACATCGCACGATGGAGATGGAAATTGGAAATTGAAAATTGTTTTGCTGCAAATGGAGTGGCAGGAGAAAGCCTGAAAGGACTCTTACCAACAATGGCATAATTGAATTGCCAGCCATTAGGCCACATCGCACCTTCGGCTGCTCATCTACAAATGTGGACTGCTCACTTGTGTTTAATGATTGCTTTTTTTTGTTTTTGTATTTCGAAACCAGAGCAAATTTAAATTCCTTTGAACTGTCAACATGACCAATCCACGGCGTTCTTTTGTTCTCAGCCAGGACCTTTCTTATTCATGCGAAACTTTCGCATTTCGACAAACAAGAAGTCAAATTGAAAAGTTTTTATTTTGTCAACAGCACAACGCAGGAGGCAAGGACGAAAAAAAAAAACAGAAAGTGAAATTAGAAGCCGCGAGTGGGAAAGTGAAACAAAGTTGGCATCGCAGTTGCCAATTGCCGAGTTGTGTTCCCAACTCGAGCAGAACAAATAGCGGCCAAAACTTGGGGACACATAACGCGTAAAGTTAAAGTCACAAGGCCCTCTTATTTCCTGTTCGTTCCAATTTAAATTTGATGGCTCTACTTTGAGTGGATTACCACATAATTGTGAAATATCGATTGGCAATTAGCTTTGCGCTGCATTCGCATTATCCTCAAGGCCTCAAAGATGGCCCGAAAGCAGACGGAGGCGGAGGCGGAGGCTGAAGTAAAAATGATGGCCAAGACAGACGCAGATAAACTGCAGCTTGGGAGGTAATTATTATTCTTAATTATCCACGGATGGGTTGTCGGGCCAAGGAAGTTCCATAGAAAACTGCCCAGCTCTTCGGATTTGCTCCTTGGCTGCTGGGCAATTATGCAAACGCTGGGGCCGACAAAACAAAACAATGCCGCGATAAGGAGGAGAGCTCCCTTTTTTTTTTGGCTCAGCTTTCGCGCTCGTTAATTGTAATTGAAGTTTGTAATTAAAAAGTTTATACGCGAGGCGCGCAGTCATTAAAACGAAATGATGCTGGCTAATACTCGTAGAACTACTACGGGATTCTATGGCTACCAAAACGGGAAATGAATCTGGAACTGATTCCAGGTAGGTAGCTCTGCGGAGTAACCGGCATTAATTTTGATTTAAATGGTGTGTAAACGCTTTTAAACTTCCGAGATTTGTGTGGCCTTCGTTCTGGCACTTTATTTAGCCGCAATTGAGTTATTGGCCTCATTAGCGCCAGCTTTTTGCTCCGGGATGCAAGCCCGAAAGCGGATCCGGTTCGACTAATTACCACTCTGATGAATGAGTAGGGCACGTTGCCAGACATCCTCCAGGCAGGACCTGTTCTGGCTGGCTTGTTTACCTCCACCTTGTCAGCCAATCAAAGTGGGTAAACACCATGCCCCACACACACACACACACACCCGCACATACACTGTCATAGGCACACACAAAAACGACGAGCAAACGACCTCAACCTAATCATGAATAATGTGCCACATATTCACACAATAAAATCAAGAAAAAGGCAACACAAATATCATAACAAGCAGTCTGGCAGCAGGCCGGGTTCGCCACCCCTTGGCTTTTCCAGCGATCCTATCAGCCAAAATGTGACACAGGCCACGCGCGTAAGGGCGTCTAAAATAGGGGGTGGTGCACTGTGAAAAACATATTTTCATATTAGGTTAATTTTCCAAGAGGTTCCTGCAAGTGGTGAAGACTTCAGCTTTACTTTCTGTCAAGGATGTTCAATTTTATACCTAAAAGCTTGTTTCCTTACTAAAACTTAACAAATCATAGAAACCTGCAGGTACATTTATCCCAGTGCACGTAGGGTGTCTCGCGTATTAAATATGCGTGTCATGTCCATTTATTTGGCTTTGTTGTCACCTTCGGCCATGTTGACTTTTCAATCTCGCCGAACACTCGACGCTGGGGAAATCGCACACAAGGAACACACACACAAGGCATCGAGTCAGCGGGGCAGCGGGGCAGCAGGGCCAATCTGTATAATGTTGAAAACATATTTCGAACATCTGCCAGATCCCCGTGGCTCGAGTTGATTGAATGGGCCTAGACCAGTTCCAGACATCTAAAGTGCACACACATGACTTGCTCGGGCGCATCGCCTCCAATTCCCCCCAGAATCTCAGATCCTGAATTCTCGTTTCCAGTTCCCAGGATCCACAACTTCCACTCAACTCATGGAAAAAATATATTTTTTTTAGCCCCAGCAGTCGTCGGCCGCTTAATCAGCATTTGTCAAATGAAAAACCTTTCACCAGCTCTTCAGTTGGCTTTGCTCCTGGCCAAAAATGACAATGACATTGCCGAGGCTGGCAAATGGCTTTCTCTTTGTGTATATTAGTCTCTCTCTCTCTCTCTCTGTGTGTGTGTGCGGCTGTGGCTGTGGATATGGCTGCTCCTCCTTAACAATGACACCAAAATGCCTGGCATTATGCGGGCTGCTGGCTGCATTGAGTCTAACGTCAACTGTTTCAGTTGACAAATTTGAGCAAAAAGTAAAAATGTCCCAGCCAGCAGACAAATGTGGTTTGAAGAAAAAGGGGGGTTGGCAGGTGAATCAGCCACCTGGGAAAGCAAACACACAAAGGCGGCAACGGCAACGGCAGCAGCAGCAGCAGCAGTCGAGTGCTTTTCCCAATGCGAAGCTGGCAAATTTCCATAAATCATATTAACCCACATTTGACATTACCTCTCCTCTCCTTTGCTTTCTGGCATTGTTTGCCTAAAAGTTTTCATTTTGCACATTTGGCATAGTTCTGCCTTCTTCTACTCAACTTTGTGCAGCTTCCTTTCTTGTACTTGCTTGCACTTAAAAATTTCCCTTGAAGTTGTCGGCCAGGAAAAAGGTTTTTCAGGGCTAACCTTGTTCCTAATGAATATCGAAGCTTTCACGTTGAGATCCCAAATAACAACAAGTATTTGGTAAATAATTTAGGCTAAGTGAATATTGATGTACATAACATGGATTACAGAGAATATCTTTCAATTTGTTTTCAGCTAAAGCGAAGTTCGAATCGCATGCATTTTTTATTCTAATTACCAACCAAGAAACAAAATACCTGCAGATTCACATGCTCAAGGCTTTTGGGGGTAATAAATCATTTTTATTGTTGGCACTTAAAATACCATTGTGTTGCAATAAAGTCGCCATAGTAAAACACGAACATTCCGCCGGATAGCCGAGAGAATATGGGCCACATAAACCTAACGCTGACCTGATACTTGAGCCCTTGAGTGCTTATCCTGACTTGGAAGGAGCCGTAATTGAATCCTGAAAGTCTTGCTGTGGCACTTGTCATTAGTTTTAATTCCCATTTCGGGATGGTATGTGCTGGTCCTGGAATGGCTAGAAAGGCCCGAAAAGAAAACCTCCTGGGTAATTATGCAATCACTTTTTGGCATGGCCAAAACGAAACGAAACGCTTGCATGTCCTCTTCTCAAGCTCGTTCTCTTTTCTTCAGGAGTCTTCAAGCCTCCTTCCGGTCTTGTGGCATTACAAATTGCCGCCATACGCGAGCTAATGCTTTGCTATTTGTACAAAATGCTAATTTGATTTATCCGCATTTCATTTTTATGAGGCCGCGCTTGTTTCGCGTCGCATTAAATCCATTTTTCAGGAGATTCGCGTGCCGTCACCCAAGTAAATGTAAATAGTAAATGGTGAATGGCGAATGTTGAACGTTGAATGCTCCACATCTGCCACCAGGACAAGCGACTAGGCTAAGGCCAGCTCCCAATTAGGATAATCGTCGGCGGGAAATGTTAATTTAAATGTGAATGATTGCGGCTCTGTTTCTGTTTCTATTTTGGCTTATACTTCTGGTCCTGTTGCTCTGAACTTCCGTGCCACCGATGGTTGCGTGATGGAATACATGTGTTTGGGGCGCGGAACTGGCGGCGATTGTGTAACCGCTTGGCTAAGCTTGATTCTGAATTGGAATCTCTCGTGACAGGCGGCCATGCGTGATGCATTGATTGAGTGGGGGCTTTGATGGGATCCTGATCCGGAGAGAGCATATTCTGTAGATCAGCCAAGGACTTCGATACATTAAGGTTTGTTTTTTTTTTGTAAAATTTTACATGCAACGTCGTTTTTCCCCAAATTATATCTTACGTAACTTATTAGCATAATTATAGGGTATAGGGTATACTAATTAGTTCCTATTAGCTAGTTTCTGGCTCATTGCAAAGTGGCCTTGTTGGAGACCTTTTTACCTTAGTTTCCTTCTAGGCCTTCTTTTTTGTAACCACACTTTTCATCTGACTCTTTTTAGCCTTTTTAGAGGCCAATTTGAGTACATCCTTAAGCATACCGGATCTAGGAGAGCCCTATAAAATTAAGTGTTAAAGATAAGGTAACCAGGGGTAAGGGTACTCTTCTCACCATTTGGGTATACCGCATCCGTTGAGCCGGCGAACATGTATTCCAGAGACGCGTTGCACAGAAAAAGGCATCATTCGGCAGCATTTCACTGTGCAGTTTTACATAGTATTGCACGAAGTTCTTATAAGCGAGGATTGACTGTTTGCTTGCTTTTGGTTTACTGCAAACTGAACCCATTGTTATTAACTTTGCACTTTGATTTAGTTCAGGTGAAAAAATAAATAAATATAAATATTATATATAAAGTTTACTATAAATTTATGTCCGATATGTAGCTATAGCAGTATGACAATGAAGTCTGTGATTTGAAAACAAACTGAAGTTAGAAAACAAAGGCTACTTCAGTCTTAAACAATAAAAAAGCAGATGTGGTGATTCATTTCTGAGATATAAGATCAGGAAAAGTAAGAAAACTATTCAATATATAGATTTATTTAGATATGGAATTTATTTTAGATATCAAACGAAAAGATAGTAAGCGAACAGTGACGACTTTGTTTAGAACTATAAGTTGATTCCAGCCGAAACATGAACATTGTACACTTTTCATAATTAAAGAGCTTCCTGCTACAAACATTGCTGATTGTGAGTGGGTCCCCAGGACTCCTTCCAGCCAATCTTATCGCTTGGCTAACGAACTAACGCCATTAGCCAACGCGGCCGGTGCGACAACCAGTGGCTACGTAATAAAAAAAAAAGGGCAACAACCGACCATTAAGCTTTTGGCCAAGGGGCAGGAACAGCAGGACGAAGACCAAGACGAGGTCGAGGGTGACAGGACGAGGTGAAGCCTAATGAAATTCCATGGAAACATGTTCTCGCCTGATAAGCAGCCATTGGTCAATTGGCCAGTGGAAGGAGAGGGCTGACCGCTCCGAAATGTGCACCACACAGGCAATCCAAAGGAAGCGAGCGTGACGTGGTACGCAAAACGCAAGCTAACTTGCCGCACGAAATATGAAAAACTGCAGAGGCGAAAAGTCAATGTCATTTGCAATGCAGCGCTGTAAATTATTTTACATGGCCGACTTAAGGCCAAATGGCTAAACTAAAGCGAATGGAGCTTTAAAAAAAGAAAAACACCAGGCAGCAGGAATCCAACCAGGATGAGCCCCACTTTCGCCAAGCTCCAACTGCTGGAGCGGCAGCAGATTGCAGTTTAAGTACACTTAGGGAAAGTTAGAAGGGAAAACTAAAAGAGAATATAGCTTAACAGGTATCTTAATATTAATAATTTTTTATAAATTACTTAGTTAATATTCTTGGCAGTGACTCAAAAAGGGGAAACAATATCATTCTTTATACATTTTATAAAAATCTTTGAATTTTTGCGACTTAAGTTTGTTCTTAGTGTAAATCCACGTGTTTCAGAACGCCTGTCCCAACTTTCTGGCATTTATCTCTGTGAAAAGAAATCGCTCAACGCCCGTTGCACGGCGGAAAGCGCAGAGGGGGGATTCTTTGTCTTTAGCCAAGATCTGGTGGCAGGAAGGTTGGGTGGCTGAAAGGCCGGCGGACTGGCAAACTGGAGAGCATGAGGCTGAGAGGCGGAGTGGCCACCGCAAAGCAGCGTTTCCGGCGCCTATTCCTGTGCAGCGAGCAGGGGGCAGAGGGCGAATCCCCTCCTTTTGGCTTTGTGTATGCAAACAAAGTACGAGATAAACTTTTGTTCTGCCTGAACTTTGTCGCGGCTTCGGAGTTTGGGGCTTCTGCAGCTGCCGTTGTTGCTGTTTTCGCATTATAATTTCAGCTCGCTTTCGCACAATTCCCGTCTCTTTGTCCGCGCTTTATGAAAATGAGTTAAACATAATACAAATCTCTGGGGCGAGTTTGGGAAATTGTTTTTAAATTTACCAGATCTCCTCTCATTCTGCCGGCTTTGGCTCTGGCTTTGGCTTCGGCATTCATTTCTGTCACACGCGGCGGGTGGCAGCAGCAGCGGCGGCGGTTGCGACGGGATTGAAAATGGCAGGAACAATATGTCATTAGAATATAAATTGAAATTGACGGGCCAACTTGTTTGCTTTTCGTTGGTATTTCTTTGCGGCACGCAGACAAGGGGAACTGTCATTGGTTTTGCATGTTGCAGGTTGATTAAAAAACTATACGAGAGAGTGTGGTGTGCCCACTCACGTGCCGCACGCAGGTCGAGGCGAAAATTATACGGATCGAATAGCGGGGACTTCTCTGGAATTGAGGCAGGCAAAAATCCGGGGGATCAGGGTGCCAAGACATAGACATACTTTTCCAATTTACCCCCACCAAAGCAGGAGCGGACTGTGCGAAATGAGCCACTCAAAGCAATCAGGCAGACACATCTTTTTCCCCACCCAATCACTCAGGCTCTGGACCCCGCCTCCGTTGTGAACCTCCGTTTCCGGCCAAGAACAGAGAAACCCATCCCAGAAATCCTCACCAGCCATCAGCGCCATGAATTATGCAAATCTCTTGCGGCCAACTCAACGCTAAGGCAGAGAAGGCATCGGTCGAGCTGGGAAAAAATCAAACAAAATCGATTGATGTACAAATTTTTCTTAGCATCCGCAAACAATTTTCTCGAAAGGAGCCGCCACCGCCGCCGCCTGCCTTTTGATTTGTGCGTCAATGACAGGAGAGATGGAGAGGTATGATGTGGGGTTGGGGGAAATGTTGTCTTGTCCTGGCAGCCTACTCCTAAATTATGTAGATTTGTTTTAGCATAATGCTGGGGTGTTGTCCTGTATCCCGAGAAAGTGTGTGTGTTTGTGCCAGGAGCAGGGATCCTACAGCGATTTTTTTTTTTTTTTTTTGTGTGCTACACTTCCCCCCACTTCTTGACTGTTGCAACGTTTTAAACCGCCATTAGGTTGCCTCCATAAATATCAGGCTGCTCCGCCCCGGACTTCGCTGGTGAGGAAGAATTATGTAAATTCGGTTGGTCACAGGACCACCGACCACCCAACCGTGCGCATTTCATTGAATTATTGTGCGTTGCCCGGGCAACTGATGGTCCAGGACTCGCCTTTTCGACATATTCCAGCAACTGCCCACATATTCCTCTCTCTTGTATATATATATATTCCTATATATATAGTATTTTCCCCGTTGCCATAGTTGGCACTGTGCGGTTGCCTTTGTACCGGGCAATATATGAAATTCTTAAGTTTCCTCTCTGTTTGCCTCTGCTAATTTAATTTATTGGCATTCTCTGAACAATTTAGTTTAATTTGCCGGACATTCCCTTTGATTGGCCAGCAGCAGTAACTTTTCCATCGGCAATTGTTAAAACTTGCATTTTTAGCAATAACTGTTGGAGAAATCAAATCAGCTGAAAATTAATTTAATTCGCACTTGAACGGCAAACTTTGGCTGCCATGTAGCTTTATGATTTGCTTGCGTTTTATTCCTTTGCCAAAGTTAAAAAAAAATCAAAAAAAAAAAAAAAACAAGAAGAAGGCGAAAATACCGAGCTGCAAAATTTTAATTATAAAAGTTTGGATCTTGCTCGCCTTGACGCCTGCTTGCCTGAACTGACTGACTGGCTGACTGACTGACTGACTGGTCCTGCTCCTTTTTCCGCTCCTGTCTGCGGATTGCTGTGGAAAATAAGTGTGGGTATTAGTGCAGCATCCATCCTACTCTGCACTTTGCCAATTTCACCAATATTAATTATGATTTCATTTTCGTTAGTTAACAGTTTTTTTCACAGCGATTCTTTATTGCTTCAACGTTTCTTTGAAATGAATACCAATGGCAAATGGCAAATGGGAACTGGGCAATGCGAAATGGGAAATGGAAGAGCGAGAAGGATTCTCGAATGGGGTAAGTGAAAGAGTTTCCTTGTGGCGCAACTTAATTAATTTTACATTGCTTCGAGTGCACTGCTCTCTGGCTGTCAGAAAAGTGTTCAAATGATAAACGAGCTAATTAATATGCGCCAAAACTTGTCCCTCGGCCAGCATTGCCGGCATTGCCAACACTGCCAACATGGCCAACCAAGCTGGCCGTAGAGCCAAAGAATCGCTTGTGGCTCGCCAATTATGCGATATGATTTGCAAAAGTTACCCTGGCTTTCGCTCCTCTAGCATATTTCTGCGGAATGTCCCCATTTTGCTCTGTGACCAGTTCAACGACACAATTTTCATTAAAATTCATGTGCAATATATTGAGACTTGCATGCATAATGGTCACTAAGTTTTCCACCCAGCAGCAAACTTGGTGGGGGCGTCAAGTGGGCCCGGCAACATGCAAATAGGAACGTGGGCCAAGGGGATACTGGTAACTGGTAACTGGGTACTGGTAACTGGTAACTGGCATCCGGACATCCTCTGCGTTCCGTTTTCCAAATGAAACTTGCAACGGTAGTATCCGCCTGTATATATTCCTATAAAAAAAGAAACGCAGCTCAAGTAGTTTGAGCGCCCTATGAAATTTCATGCATAAACTTTTGCCAAATGCAAAACTTTTAATAATTTAAACCGTGCACGTATGGTCCTGGACCTCTCTTGTCCCCTGGTCAGCATTTGGGTTTTCCTTCTTTTTCTTTTTTTGAAAGAGCTTAGAAGAGCTCGAGGCAAAGTCCTCGAAAAATCGACAAAGGGAACCTGGCAGTTCCATCGATGATTATGTATTTTCATATAAATTTGCAGAAAGTTTGCGAGTCTGCTGACTGGCACAAAGGATGTGACACATTTAAACTTCATACTTGGTACTTGCATTATGGCAGGCAAATACTTGAGGGCCTCTTAAACTGTAATGCCCTGAAAGCCCCTTGAGAGTTACCATATAAATTGGAACTAATATAAATACATTTTTGATGTTTGAAGAAAGTGTTTCAATATATTTATACTAACCACTCTCTGAAACGAAACAGTAACTAAAAACATAAAACACTCTTCACGTATTTTAGTTTACATCTAATGCTTTATTTTATTCTTGAATATTTTAGGGTTTCTTATGCGCGTTAATCATACAATTAGCATCGTACTATGTAGTTAGTAATTAATGAATTCACTTTGAATGGACACGTACTGTCCACGTGCTTATCTATTTCTGGGTTTATCTGTACTTGTATTTAGGTTCAGATGGGATTCGAATTCAGATCGATCCATCAATCTATCTGTGTAATCTGTAATGAATGCCTTCGATTCGTCCTGCATTCGGCATTCGGCCTCCTTCGTCCAACTGGCTATGTAAGGTACACACACATACACATTTATGTAGATAAATTGTAACGCTTTTACTTGGTTTTTCAATTCATTTTCCTTTTAGGGGTTTTCTAACACGGTTTTTGGCTTCGTTCGACAGTGCTAAATACAGGAGTTTCTGTTGTTGTTCTTTGTTGTTGTTGTATACGAGTTCGAGTTTGGCCTATAAAATATACAAGTGAGCTTTGACCTCTATTGTGTGCCCTAAATGAAACAGATGTACGGATCGTACAATTGGAAAGGTGCAAAAGCTGATAAAATGCCTGCTGGGTTCATTTCTTTATCTTTTTCTTATTATTTTTCTTTTTCTTTTTCGTTTTTTATAACACTCAATAAGTATCGTATTCATGTATTTACAAGATGACTCTCGTGGCAATCACGTGTCGCTAATATGTATGCAAAAATTCACATTCAAATAGTCCGACTAATATTCCGAATTGGGTATTGGGTATTGGGGGATTAGCTTAGTTTTTACTCGCTTGTTTTTGGTGGTACAACATGTTTGCTTACATTCTAATTTACATCGAAAAACATTACATTGAATTGCTGTTACGTTTTTTAATTGGTTTTTTCTTTTTGTTTTGTTTTTAATCGTTTCGGTTATGGGTGCGCTTATGGGCTAAAATAAAATGGCAGCTGCAAATCGAAGGAATGGCAGTGGAAACGAATTCGAAAACGAAACACAAATGTGGCAAATACTTTACATACTAACATTTTGCGGTGTGGCTTTACTCATCTGTATGTGTGTTCATTTGTTTTATATTTCATCTTCAATATTTTGTTATTTATGGTTTCGCTTGAAACTAAATAATATCACTATATAATGTTTGCTTAATTTACATACACATCCTGCACGCCGAGCATTCAGCCCGACATTTATGAAGTAAAATGCAGTTCACATTCAGATATCTAATGCTTATTTACATGACCTAGATCGAGTTGCTTATACTACCATGGGGATGGAACTGGGGGGTGGGATTTGGTTAGTGGATTTGCATTCTCCAATTGCAATTTCCATTAACCATTTTCCGGTTTTAAATGTGGCTGTGTTTGTCTGTGTTGGTTTGTGTGTGCTAATTTAATCGTGGACAAAACTCTTGAAAAATTATTTACATGGGTTTCATTTATCGTTCAGCTTTCCGGTTGTCTTTTCTTTTGGGGCTTAGTTTGGGATAGATTCACTTGATGTTTGGTTGGGCGGAAGGGAAACACAGAATTAGCGGTGTACCATAAAATTCCATTAAATATTCTTAAGAATTTCCTTTAGATTTCTGTACAGCCTATGCCTCTGTCCTTTCCCGCCAACTTCCTTCGTTTAGTGTGAGCGATTTCCCTCGACTTGTGCTGCTTTCGCTGGTTTTGATCCTGATCCCGATCTGCCTGCCGAATGAATCGCTTATCCCAGGCCCAGTCGGCGTCTGTCGAACTGACAATTACTCAAGGCCAGGGCCAAAAGCAAGACCGTGTGAAGGACTAGGCTCTGGGTCAATGATCCTGGCAGGTTGCCGGCCGGGGCACTATTGCTGCGCGACTTGGAGCTGGCTACCACCTCGGCATCTTCGGGGCCAATCTGCTCTCTGTTGTTTGAGACGATAAATTGAAATATATCGCTGACCTGCGGGGTTGAGGTGGGAAAAGCAAAGAAAGCGGACAGGAATTGAGTACAGAGAAGTGGCACACAAAATCAAGATTAAGTAGCCGCCCTGTCGCACTGAGCTGGACGCACGACTAGATTTATGCCGGCTCCGGCCCTTTTTTTGGCACCGAGCTATAGAACTCACCTCATTCCAGCCATAGCGATTCTTGGCCTGCACAATTGCCTCGTAGTAAGCGCCCGGATGCAGATTCTTAATGGTGTAGGACATGATGTGTGTCAGGGGCTCCGTGGCTGGTCGATGTTCCGGGGTAAGGATGAAGTCGTGCCACCTGCCCGGCTGCTGGTACGTATCATTCATCTAGCCGGCGGCGATAAGCGAGGGGAAAAACAGAGCGGAAAACAGAGAAGAGAAAGCAAAGAAGAGCCAAATTAAGTGCCGGCTTCTACCATTGACAGTTTTCCTTTGATTCCTTAATTAATTTTATGTCCTGCGCGAGGAAACCAAATGATTTCCGCTGCGAGCGCCCCGATCAAGTTATGACAGCTATCACATCAATTAAGTATCCTCCACAACCTCCTGCTCCTTCTCATTTACCTCCTCAATGCCACTTGATATGCCGCTCCGGCGGAAAGTCCTCCAATAATTGCACTTCAATGGGGCATAAATGCAGAAAAAAAATTATCTCCGCCCAATCAACGAAGCGTGGCAGGCCACTGCAGTTTGACATTCATCGCCAAGTGGGCGTGAGTCGAAATCTCATTAAATTTCCCAACCCAGCTCATCCGATTTGCCCATGTATATAGCCCAGAGTCGCAATTAAGCGACATTTTCATGTGTCTACCCTGATACTCATATTAAAAATCACTTTGCTTTCGGTCTACCTGAACTTGGCTACATGGAAAATAATATTTTTTCCATATTTTCAATAAAGTTACAAATAAATCTGACCATTAAACCTATCAAAAACCATTTAATTGTAATTAATTGTTGCCTCCAACTTTTCCTCCTTACAAATCGAAACAATAATATTATTAAGTTTCCAATACCTAAAGTTTTGTATTTCTCTCTGTAATTATTTTCCCATCTCGCTTTTCTTTTTCTCTCCACATAATAGCTTCGTTTCTGTTTTTTATGTGAGCTTCTTTGGTTTTTCCCGGCATTTTGTTGCTTGATTTTTTAGACATTTCGGTGAATGTAATTTTAATCACGTGCTTCATTAGTGAGCGCAGCCTTCGCCAAAAATAAAAGCCATTTCGAGACGAGACGTCAAGGTATCGGATTGCTTTTTAAGGCCTTCATAGAGGATGGAGCAATGGAGCAGCGATGAGCATCTTCCCGCCCCATTGTCTAGATGACTCTGTCTGTCGGGATCGGGGCTTTGTGCATATTTCACAATTAATTAATTGAATATACTCCTTTCATATCGGATTGCCAGTGGCTTCCCACCCATTACACACCACGCCGTCCTCTTCAACCAACTCACCAGCACTCGACGATAGAGTAGGCGGACCTCCTCCAACGGCGGGTAACTATCGATTTTCCAGGTCAGATTGTAGCTGTCCGTTGAACTACCCCACTTGGGTGAGTAAAACTCGGCGGGTCCGGGTCGTCCAGAGAGTTCCATGTACTTGCGGGATCGTCCCAGCGAATTGTCCGCCACGCAGCTGAAAGGGATTTCTAATTAGCATATGGCTTAAATGGTTAATTGCCTTAATTGGCTTTTGGTTTTTCGAATTTTCTGCTGGCTTTTTTATTTGGCTTGTTAATTTCTGGGCGCGTCATGTTTGCCTGCAATCACTTTTGCATATACACACACTAACACATCGCCAAAAATGTAATTTCCTTTTAATTTTGCATTACACTCAGTCAGCATTACTCATACGCCATGTGAAGCGGTGGAGGTTCAACCATCCGCTTGTGCCCGCATCGATCTGGCAGTCGGCAAGTGGCTGGCAGTCGACTGGGGAACTCGACTCAACTAATCCAAACACGTCGACACGTCGTGTGCACAAAAGCCACTCACAGTGGGTGGTGGCCAGGTGGGTGGGTGGTTCTCGTTGGGTTGGTGGTTCGATGGGCACCACGACCTGCACCACCATCATACCGCCCCCATTTAGAAGATGGCTAAAACTTTGTGCATGAAATGTTGTGTCAACATGGCGAAACTTCCGCTTCTTTAATATGTTTCAGACAGATTGACATTGATGTGGAAAACTTGTTTGTCCGCAAAATGGGTGGGACACGCCCAGCTCAGACAATTCCCAAAAGCCGGACGTGGGTACCAATGTACCCACTACATGTAGCATGTAGCAAATGCGGCAGCGGACTAAGCCTCGTTTCTCGTTTTCTACCGAAGCCGAGACAAGTGGGAAGTTGGAACTTAGAGCTTGGAACTGCTAACTGGCTGGCAAAAAGTGAAATAAGTTGTAGCCAAAGTTGCCAAATTGACTAAATCAACGCTGGCCAGCAAAGTTCATTGTAAGCCACAAGTTGTCCACGTCGATTCCAGTTCGAGACTAACCTGTAGTTGCCAAAGTCCTCCTGTTGGATGTGGCGGATGTTGAGCGTGTGCCGATTGGCCCGGGTGTTCATGGTTCGTCTGTCGGTAGTTTGGATCGGAAATGAGTTTTGGTACCAGGACACCTGCAGCGAGAAGGGCTTTGGATTAGCTACAGCAATCATGATGATCATCGAGATGAAGATGAAGATGAAGATGAAGCACATGTCAATTGAGTGCAACAACTAATAAATTCAACTGAAAATTTGACCCACTTGCAGTAACTTCTTCCTGCCACACAATACCAAACGAGAAACGAAAAATGAAAAACGAAATGAAACGAAAGTTGGGCAAATAAAAATGGCATTAATTTGCCACAGCAAGAAATCGGAAAAAGAAATTGCAAGCCAGGTTGGCACAAAGCCTGCGAGAACAAGAACAGGACACAACACAACAGAACAGAACTGAAACGAAAAGCTGAATAACTGAAAAACAGGAAAAAGTGACCTGAAAACAAAGTTCTTGCATAAACCGATGGCGATGGAGGAGGCAGGATGACTCGCTCGTTGGTTGAAGCCAGCCAGTGAGGCAGCCAGCCTGCCTGCCCATGGCCCCGTAATCGTAATAATCTAAAAATCCACGAAAAATAACAAAAACTATCTGGGCACAATGGAACGAATGGAACGGTGAATTCAAAGAGCCAACAAACCGTTGCGACTGGATCAGCGTAAACAATGCAAACGAGCTTCGCCTCGAATCCTTCGCCCGAGTGTATCCAGGACTTCTCCACTTGTATATCCGGGGGATCTGCACCCAGATACCCAGGCATCCGTCAGGTTGCAGAATGGTGCAATGGTAGGATGATGGCCGTATAGCAGCAGGATGGCAGGATTCCGAGCAAGGACACACACAGACAGAGAGAATGAAACAAAAAGAGGCGATGGAAGAATTTAGCACACGAAGCAGCAATCTGATTACAGTCAAAAATCAATTTATATACAGTTGCTAAGACTCCGTTTGGTCTCGGCTTTCTTTTCCCCGTTCAAATTGTTTTCAACCCGGCATTTGTCTATATCGAAAATCGGTGTTGCCGCATTGTTGCATGCATCTCTAGTAGTATCTCCTCTGTTATATCTGCACAGCGGTTTCTGGCTTCGCATTTTCCGCTGCAGTCAGCAGCTTTAAGGCACTGATTTACGAGCCCCGCGAGACTCTTTTACCCTAAAACACTTTTCTTCGACTCTGATTTCTTGGATTTTTTACAATTTTTTTTGCATCTGCAGTTGTAAAGCGAAAGTTTAGCTATCCTGCAAATAGATTTCAAGATGCTGCTTTACTCACGCAAATGCAATGATTAATGGCAGATTCTGCGGCAGAGATACTTAGGATTGGTATGTTTACTTTAATAGGATTCTTTGATAAGATATATAGCTTTAAGCAATAAAATGGAGTGTAATATTTGACGATGTGAAATTCCTGTAAAAGCCTTTCCTATTATATGCTTGGAACATAAGAGTATGTATGTTGATCAATCCTCATAACTCTTAGATGCGTTTTCTCACTTTTACTTAACATTTTCTTATATAATAAGTATCTAAAACAAATTTTAAAAATATTTTAAAGTATACTTACAGAGCACATCCAACCGCATATCAACAGTAACCGGATCACCCACTCCATTATCGGCAGTGCACTGATAGACTCCCGCCTGCTGGCGCTCCAGCTTCTCCAGGGTCAAAATGGGTCCATCACCGATCCTGGCCGACGACTTGTTTGCGCCGCTCTGCAAGGACATACCAAAAACCAAAAGGGAAAAATACAGTATAAGGGGCGGAATATTCTGTAACGCTTTGTAAACAGAGCGACAACAAATTGAATCAATCGCAGACATCTTTTGGCCCCGGCCCGGCCCCGGCAAAAATGAAGTCAGCGAGAGTGCAAGTAGCAAATGTCAAAAGACAAATGCTGTTGGCAAGCGAAAAAGTACGGAAACGAAATGAAATGAAACGAAACAAAACCCAAATGAAGACATCTCCCCAACGAAAGGCGAAAAACTTGCTGCGACTGCACAGAGGACAGAGGGCACGCAGAGGGGGCCAGAGGGCAAGTTGCACAAATATTGGATGTGGAGCATGCAAAACTGGATGTAAACACAGACATCGGAGCGGGTCTCAAAGGGCCAAAAAGGGCGTTGTAGCAAGTCAGCTTTTTGGCTTTCTAGCATTCTGGCTGCGAGCGTCTTTTCTTTGGCAACCGGCTTTTGGCTTGGCTTGGTTTTGACTTGGTTCGGCTCAGCCTGGCTCGATTTGGTACGGTTAGGGCCAAGTGACGCCCCCGGGGGGAACACGTGTCAACGTGTGCTCCAAAGACAGCCGAAAACACGACGGAAATGCTGGGGCAGATTGAAATGGAACGCAGCGCCATGGAGTGACACCCAACTTGGCACTGTCTCTAGGCGAGCGGGTGGAGCTGTAGCATAGTAGGAGGGGAAGTAGAGTCACTCCATAAAGGTGGAGTCATTGGAAACTCATCGTACTACCTACCTGGCTGGGAGCAAACAAATCGAACGGAAATGTCAAATGCGCCAAAGTGCAGTAATGCAAACGAGACTTTTACCCAAAATGTTGGAGCCCTGACATAGACATATATGGCACACACATTCGTGGAGTGCTTACTCCGACACTTGCTTTATTGAAAGTTTGTGTGCGAATAGAAGTTGTTGCACTGCGATAGGAAACTGACTTTGCTTATGATAAATATGAAAGAAATATATCATAAATGCTTCTCTAAAGTAGGTGAAGGTGTACTTCAATGTCCCTTCTAATGATGGTAACTAATGATGATAAGAATTAAGGCAATATTTTTCCATTTTCATTAAGCCAATTTTCCCAGTGTATGCCCCTGTGCATGTGCTAACTGTTCGAATGACACTGACACTGACTGGGTCACTAGCCGATTGCCAACTGGCAATTCCTTAGGTCCCATACATACATAGCTATATACATACATGCCAGCATAGGGTAGCATACTTTTGTGGGTCCATAAAGCGCATTAATTAGGCTCTGAACACGAGCACAGAAATTCTCCCTGGTAACCTGCAATCTCAGTTCACCTTCCCAGCATTTGCAAGTGGCTGTCGCTGACAGTGATTTAGTGTGAACTCTCTGGCATCGAATCAATGCCAGATTCGAATCCCGAATATATAGCTCAAGTCTATACAATGCTTAATGGGTAATGGGAACTACTACTGGGAATCCCTTTGTGTGTGTCTCTCTCTTGCTCTGCTCTAGTTGGCAACTTGATAAACTTCTCGAAATTAGCAGCGAAAACTAATTGCCAACTCGCATCCGCATTTGCAAGTCATATAAGTCGGCATAAATTCATTTGTCTAGCTCCCCGTTTTGGCCCATTTTGAAATGGCTGACTTGGCTGGGCTGGCTGGCCTGGCTGGCTGGGATGGCAAATATGTTATCCCTTTGTTGGCTCATGCGTAAAATTATGTGTTTGTTGAATTCATAATTGCCCCCCATTACAGCCACATGCCACAATCGTAGATTGTTGTGGGCGGCGGCGCCTCCTTGCGATTTATCATCTCACTTTTTGTTTGCTCCCACAGCCGAGCGGAGATTTCGGCGGCAATGTGTTGAAAACTGTGAGTGATGAGATATGTGTTGTTGATTTATAATACAAACAAAATGTATTCTCATATCTAGACCTGTTCTGTATGTTCTGTGTGTGACTTTAATGTAGGCAAATCATTTTTAATTAATAACGAGGAGCAACTTTTGGCCATCCAAAATGGCTGAAAAACTTTTCCCTTCCCGCATTCCCATTTCCGGATCCTGAATCCTCGGGAAAGTTGGCGGGCTCTCGAGAGCTTAAAAGCGAGTGAAAGTGAAATTTGAAAGGGAAAGTGCTTAACAACTGACCCCACGCTGCTTACCAGCACCACCCGTTGGGATGAGCGAGAACGCAATTTAAATTTACATAACGATGCGAAACAGTTGCGAGAATTAAATTCAATTAAACTAAATGAAATTCACTTAAAACGGCATCGGAATTTCCCCAGCTAAATGGCCGAAGAGTACGGGGCGAGGACAAAGCGATGTGTAACGAACCTTCTTGGTCCAGTAAATGGATGGCACCGGATTACCAGATCCCTTGCACTCCAGCGTAATGGGTCCTCCTTTGCGGGCCTGCAATTGTCCGGATGTCGGTATGGCTCGTACACTGGGTGGAACTGGAGGGGAGAGTGGTTTGATTATCAGTGGCTAATTGATGTATGCGACTCGAGGATAAGAGGCACTTGTCAAATGTAAATCTATGTGTGCTAATGCTGTGCAAACATGTCGACGTGTACTCACCCAATATCTCAACTGTATGCACTTGATCACGATTTATTTTGTCACTGATTTGACAAACATAATCCCCGGCATCTTGGGGCTCCAAATCGGATATCTCTAAATTATAACCATCTATCAGTCTTACGCGCTCATCCCTTGTAACCATAATGTTGGAGGCAGTGAGCACATTTGTTCCCCGTCGCCACAGAAGAACGAAATTGCCTGCAAGAGATAGAGATGTAGAATGAGAAAAGGACACAGGATGAGAGAGTGTGAGAGGGAGTGAGAGAGAGAGAGGGGTCCTTATAAGCAGATGAAAAATATAGAGCAAAATGTGTCTTCTCGTTGGCTACGAAAATTTATTGTAAAATGCCGCAATATAAACATGAAACATTTTGCTGCCAGCGTAGACATATACTTTCAGCTGTCACTGTGGCAGGGAAAGTTTGGATTGTGGCAAGTGGAAAGCGTCGGTAGGCGGCGGCAGACGGCAGGCGAGCGAAAATAGTTTTCGTCCTCTCAGAGATACATATCTATCTTTCCATCTTTCTATCTTTCAGCTGTGAACATTCTGCAGATTCTGTTCTGTTTGTCTATCCGGAGCTGAGGTCCCGGCCAAGTAGAAGGAGCAGCCGTGGCAGGATATGTGTGGGCTTCTGTTTTCATCTATTTTTTAGTATGTTTGCTCATATAAATGACATAATTTTGCAGATGTTGTTGGCATAATTCTTTGCTTTTTTTTATATATATTCTTTGCATATTTTATGCCACTCGGATCGCTTTTATTGTCGTCGTCGTCGCCACAAAAAGGCAAACGAGAATTTGTTAAATGAGATTAAGTGGCGTATAATATGTTTATTTATTTTGTGTGCTTAAGTCCTGAATGAGAGAGACCCAGAACAACCGCCCAGCCAGCATTCACCCGGCCTCGAACAATTTATGAACTTGTATTTATTATGGAAATATTAAAAAAACAAACGTGAAAAAGCGCCGCACGGACGTATTACGTATACGTGCTGTAAAACCGAAATCAGAGTTGTGTAAATACGACGTCGTCAACGTTTACCCAGTGTAAGAGTGAGTGGGTGGTAGGTGGACGCTGGTGGTTGGTCGTCCTTCGGTCCAACGGTCAACGGTTTGTTGGAATACTCGTATGATTTTCAGCATTCGAAATATGAAATTTTAATGAAATGTTTTTATTTTTCCGACCTCCGATGCTCCTCCGCTCGACTGACCCTCGATGTGTGTGTGTGTGTGCTTGTGTGTATGCCCACTGGCAGCTGACATTTTCCTGACCTTAAGCTGCCATTAAATAATCACAGCTTAAAGTAATGCATTATTAATGCCGCTTTTAAAATGCATTCGCGTTCATAATGAGTGTGCCCGGTTGGGCACTTGCCATCCCATCTTCCTTCCGGTTATTAACAGGAGTTGAAAGGCAAAGGCAGAAACTCACTTCACTTCAAATGCAAATAAAAAATTCACTCAAGTTGTACAAGAAAAGAGTCCCCCATAAACCCCGCTCGATTCCTGCGGCTTAAACTCGAGCAATCATCATTTTATTGGGGGCTCGATTATTATTGAATCGACTCCGGGTCGACCGAAAGCGATTGCCCTGCATTTTGTGGGTGAGCAGGTGGTGGAGGGTTTTATTTTGATTTTATATTAGTCCTCAACGATTTCCGGTCCTGCATTTTATTAGAGTCTAATGGCTGTATATTGATATTATTGGAGTGAGCCGAGGAATGCCATAAAAATTTCATTTTATAGCTCGTCAATATCGACATGTGAGCTTGCAGCCAAAGTTAAAGCTGCCCTCTCAGCCCACAAAGTGCTCATTTCATATATTTTTGGGGCTCATACATACATGAGCCTGTAAGATGGGTTCGATTGCCTAAATGAGTTTCCCACTTTCTCGGGGAACCTTTCTTTTTGCCAATAGATTTTAGGTGAAAGCAATTTGGTAAGTCAATATGCTCTAGCTAGCCGCTGGGCCAATGAAAATCCAATTTATAACCGCGCTCAATATTTATTGAACGGCGTTTTTGTCTGCCATTCACCGGGTGACAACATGACGTATACGTACCGTATTTGATTCGCACATATGTGACGAATGTAGGAAGATACATGCACTACATATCGCATTGAATCGTACTATAGTGAATGGCAATCAATGAACGGCTTCATAGACCATTTGATACTTAATTTCTTTTATTGGATTAAAGGCTTGCCCCGTCGCTCTCTTTCTGCTTGACCTCGCCGGCAGCTCTTGGGGCATGAAAGCTGCAATCAAACCCTCGCCATGTCACCCGTCGTTAAAAGCTGAAGCGGATTGATGACAGTGCAATGAGAAAAAAATAAAAGGAAAACAAAGTACACACCGACCCATTGGGCAACTGGACTGTTGGACTATCAGAAACATCGGCACTGACAGGGCCAGAACCGCAACAAGAGTAAAGTGCATCGATGGGGGCAGATTTCCGGCAACAAATAGTGGAAGCCATATCAAATCACTCCCTACTGTGGCTGATGTTGCTGCTCCTGATGGCATCATGATTATTTAGCAACAAACTTTAAGAGTTGTTCGAGTTTAATTACCATCAGAATCTGTTCATTGTCCATTTTCCAAATGTCTGCCATTAAAACCTCAGTCAAACGAATCAACGGACAGTTCACATCACCATCACCTGGCATTTGATGAGCCATATATAGAGAGAGTCTACAGGGAATTATAAAGCCGAGCGAATTATAAATCCCAGCTGAGCCCAAATGACAGCTTAAGGCGCAGATTGGAAATGTGTGTTGAACAGCTGAAACGGCTGAAACAGCTGAAAACAGGCTCACACAAAAAGTCGAAACATCAGGCGTTAATGGGAAATCATTGCACTTTAATGCCTCGGCAAGTGAATCGAATTAAATGAAAATATTTTGCAGGCGAAAAAAACTACGCACAAACAAGCTGGTACAAACGGAAATTCACACGGCATTTGTTGGAAATGCACTTTGAGAAAAACTGAGGGCTCAGTACGGCTTAGAGTGTGGGGATTACCTTTAAAGTTTGTTAAAAAGATAAATCTCTTCTTGCTGAGTTTTGATTGCAATTTTGGTGATTGTCCTTGGATGTTATTATCTTTATTTATTGATTGAATTTGTAAGTTTCTTTTACCATTTATTTCTTATCTCCTTGCAATAACAACAAGCAATGAATATATAAAAGCTTTCTGCATCATTCATTTTGATATTAAAAAATTGTATAAAAATGTAAACCTTTTTCTTTTGTAGTTAGTTTTCCTATGGAATATTTCTTCTACGAAAAAAGTGTGTTAAACACATTCATCCATGCTGATTGTAATGTTTATCAAAGGTGTTGTTTTGTCAATACATCAATTTTTTCCCTCCGTGCACAATCCTTTTGATCTACATTGCCTTTTGCACAATCGCGGAGCGGGAAACTTTGACTGATGTCAATCTGGGCAGTGGAGTGCATGCTGTGCGGACTGTCGTCGCTGCCATCAATGTGCAATTTATTTTCATTTGCTGCGAACGGTTAATTGCATTTTATTTATTGGCATGTCAACAGCAGTCGCAATTTAAACTTTTCGCCCTTGTTTTTGCGCTGGCAACTGGGTCAAAATTAAAGCGGTTACAGGCAGCGATAATGACTAACGCAAAGGAAGCCCATCAGCTCGGTCAATATTAGTTGAAAATGTTTAGTCAGGGCAAATATTCCGTCCGGTTCGCCTTTAATTGATTAAAATTCGATTTTCATTGGCCCCCGGACTCACATTATCCGCAGAGTAACTTCCTGCCACAGGACACAACTCCTTCCACTGCCAGCCAAGTCAGTTGTTTGCCAACAACGCCCAGCATATTGACCACATATTTGATGATGATGACGACGTTGGGGGAATGGCTAAAAGTTTTTGCGGCACTTAGCGAAATAATAAACTTAGCTCTGCCAGCAAACCCAATTTGACCTGAATCCGAGCTGCTTTTGTGACCGAACGGTCGACTTTGATCTATCAAAGATATCTTTTGGCCACACACATGAGTGAGCTCTGGAATTTTATTAATTAAGATATTCATATGCGAAATTCGAGCAATCAAAGCGAATAAATTGCAATCCGTTTCTGGGAAATTTTTGTATTAAGCCTGGCTAATTGAAGATGAGGAAGACACATTTCTGGCATTGCTGAATATTTTAATATGCCTCTGTTCCTGCGCATCTCTCAATAAAACGGCAGCCATTCATGCATCCATGGGCAATCAAATGTCATTTTATTTGCAGCCCAGCTGCATTCACGCTTGGATTGCATTTCGTTTGCCATTTGAATGGCTGCTAACATTTTAGGCCGGATCCAGAGCGAAAATCTATCAACTGGCGAATCGAGGCTAAACTAAACTCCATTTGGCCATGACAAATGGTCGGTAGCCCTCTGCGGCTGGCAACGTTAATCAGCCAAATTTATTTGCTGCCAATATGTGTGAGGTTGCATATTTTGCCGGCCAAGCCGATTTATAAATGCGAAGGGAAAAATGTGTCGATTTGCGATGTGCGATGTGCGTATGGCCAAAACCTAACGACAGGCTGTTGACAGCTGTTGGTTGGCCAAATGTTGTCGCCCATGCTCGTTGGTACTCGAATATTAAATTTATGTCTAGTGACATTTTGCCTAAACATATTTGCATATATTTTGCATAATTTGCACCGCCAGCCGCCCCTCGAAAATATTACCATTATTATTATTATTATTATTGTCGATGTTGTTGTTGTATGCCCAACTCTACATTTATTTTTATGGTCGCATTTTCACATCGCAATACTAATAACGTTGGATTAATTATACCAGTAACCAGTAACCAGTACCCTTCCAAACCCCCGAAAACTCACCTAGATTCTCCACCTGGCAGGGCAGGACGAGCGTGTCCCCGACGACGGCGCGATAGGTGTGTCCACGAGACAGGAAGCGCGGCAGGGCGGCGGTCAGTGTGGAGGGGGCCACCGCCGACTGCTGAACGTTGCTCATCGAGCGGCTGTTGCTGCCTGAAATTGGAAAAGGGTGAACGGTAAGCGGGTTAGTCTGTGGTTCTACACGGGAAATAAACATCAAAGTATCAGGTTTATATCACATATATATATCAAAACTTGTTTCCAATTAGAGACCTCACCGTATCAGTAGAACAAAGTAATGTTAAACTATAACTATGATAAGTAAATCACAATAACCTTTCAGAATGGGTATTCAAAATCAGTTTTAATTGTAATTATTTAGATAAAAACTCTGGAACGTAAATTATTCCGCTTAGTTATTTTAAACAACAGCATCGCCAAATAATTTTAGCATTTAATAGGCTATTGTTTTACGCTGTTGATTTTGCTAATTGGAAAGTCATGAAATACGATTGTAATTAGGAGTTAGCTCTGTGACAGGTAATTCTCTAATAAATCAAATAAACTTTGATTCTATATCATAGATAATAATGATTTAATGTTAAAATAAACACTCTCTTTTGAAAAACCAAGTTAAATTGGCTTTAAACAGAAGTAAAACCTAAGTTTGTAAGTCATTTCTAAGCCAATACATTGCTTTCCAATTTGCAGGACTAAGATTTCTTTAAGTGCACTCACACCCCTGCTTAGAGGGGCCCGTCTATCGATGGCAATTTGTTTCCATCTGAATGGGTTTCAATTAGCATAAAAATGTAGCAGCGAGTCCTTCGCGTTTACGCCGAGACCCCAGGACTCCCAGGATGGCAATAAACGCGCAGTACGCACATACCGGAACGTTAGCGCGTTATGTGTGAGGATGAGGAAAGGAGGAAGGGTGTCTATATAGGGATGGTCGACGGACGGAAGCTCCTCCATTGGCTCCGTGTCCTGGCCCCACTGACACTGCTCGGTGCGTGTGACCCGTCAGAGTGTGTTAACGCACTCGCCATGCCCTCGGGGGCATCGTTTCTGTCCTGTTTCTGTGCTGGCCTGTCCATGGAAACATGGCAACATGGCCAACGTGAAAATTGCTGTCGCCCGGCAGCAGCTTAAAGCCAATTTCTATGGCGGCAAGAAAAACAGTCTGACCGGGGCACGCAGCTTTTGGCGACAAATGAGCGCAGCGGAGCGTAACAAATGTTCGGCCCTGCTAAATGCAGTTCAAGAGCAGGTCCTGCGCGACGGGACAGGACACCAACGCAGCGTAACAAATTTGATTACAGGAGAGAGCTGGCAAGGAGAAGAAGAAGTTGCAGTCGAGTAGAGGAAAAGACTCTTCTCATCTAGTCCAATAGACGCCCCAAGGAGTCGCCAGAAGCGAGAGGAAAACGCCAGCATCAGCAAACAGGCCAAAAGTCTTTGCTTTTGGAAGCGACCTCCTACTTCTACTCCGCCTCCTCCTTCTGCCGACTGCACTTTTCCGTTTTGTGTGTCTGCGCTGGGTCGTTTTATCTTTTACGATACCCCTGGACACGGCCATTGCCTCACTCCGGTTTGACCCACCTGTCTGCTTTTAGCCGCTCCCTTCTTAAGAGACACTTTTACAGGTCCTTAGCGCCCAGCGGACATAAAAGGACATTTTCGCAGATCATCATTTTACGGGGAGTAAAAGGGAAGGACTTGGACCTGGACGTGGTGGAGGACAAAGGAAACGGGCGAAAATTGGTCAGGCTTTAATGCTGGACATGGCCCTGTGCGAATTTGTCGACCCTCAGATTTTATATTGTCTCGGGACAAAAGTGCACGCTTGTGTGAAATTGCACAAATTTTGCAGCCAAATGAACTTTAAGACGCACACACTTCACATCCAAGAAGGAGTAATAAAATAAGGCAGCGCTGGAAACGAATTAAAGATACTCAGTACTTAAAGGGATTTCAAACTTTAAGGCGTTTGAAGGGAGCAGGTTATCCTTTCAGATAACATTCTTAAAAATATGAATAACTTTCCCAAACTCATTCACTCCATCTCCTAGACGCCTTGCCACATAAATCTCCACCAACACAATCTACCCTAGAATCCTCCTAGTACCCTCTATAAAAAGTGTCGAATGGGGGCCTCGAGGAGCACTTTAAATCTCTTTTATACCCAGGACACTCTCCAGTTTCTCCGACTGCCTGTCGAAATACGAGCCGACCCCTGCGTTAATATCTCGGCATGCATAAATATGTCTGGGCTTTCCATTCGACGCGATATCCCAACCGCCTGCCATCCCCTTTTTGAGGAGGCAACTGCCGAAATTAGAGTTTTGCATATGAATTTTTGGGGGCAGCACTCTCGGGCGGGAGTCACCTTCCATCCTTTGGCTGCCGGTCATTCGGGCCAACAACATTGCCCAAGTGGCACATGTCGAGGCACTAGCACATATTTTTCAAATGACCAAAAATGCAGTTGGCCTTAAATTGCATGCATGAAATGCATTAAACATGCAAACCACTTCGCACCGAGAAACCCCAATGGCAGGAAGGTGATTTGTGTGAGTTTTTGTGGGGGCGGGGTGTGTGCGTAAGCCGTTTTGCGGGGGTTGCAGGCGGCAGGGGTTGGTAGAAGGCCAAATTTGTGAGGGCGGGGCATAGGCGCATTAAACATTTTTAAAGTGGTTTTCAACTATGCACGAAATTTCATTAAAACTGGGAAAAGCTGGTAGAGGCTGTTAGGAGAGGAGATCCGATGGAACGGCAAACTTTATTGTTGTCTCTCAGCCAGAAAAGCAGTAATTTTTCACTCGGGGAAAAAGGATTAACCGTAAAGGCTTTTAGTAGAGAAATAAGAACTTTATGGACTTTATGCATTAAATATTAAATTCTTTGGGTGAAATAATAGAGACTAAAAAATCAGTTCTATACGTGATGTTTAATTTAGTCAAAAATTTCATTACTATTTTCTTTGTGTGAAAATTTTCCGAAGAAAAAAGGATTTTTCGCAAAAATAAGCTCTTAATCCTTCATAATTTTGGCCAGAGTTGGGTTTCCTAGAGCTAGAATCTGAATTTCTTCCTGTGTGCTACTTAAATTCAAGCTGAAATTTAAGAGTTCTTAAATTTATACCCTCCACTGACTCACGTTGCTAGTCGCGTGCGTTGCACAAAACGCAAAAACTTTCGCCACTTCCGCGCCGAACACTTTCTCCCTGTCCGTGCTGAAAAATGAGCTCGAATGGGTTCTGTCCCGGAGTCCTGGCTGTCGCGGAAACTGTGTCACATGAGTCCACCCGTACAGTGCGCACTCGCACTGCCAAACACACACACACACACACTCTGCCTTTCCCTTGCAAATACACACTCGCATGCGAAGCACTTTCATCAAAAATGCATACAACATTGCAGTTGCACCGCACAATAAACTCGATTCTGCAAGAGACTCCCAGCTCGACCATGTAATACCCATTGTTTGTGAGACATTCAATCCACTTTCCATGTCGATTGATTTCCACCTGCCACTGAATAAGCGGTGATATGCTCAGCACTTTGCAGGGAAAGTGGTGCGAAAAGCACAGTTTGTTGCTTAAATAATTTATCTCATGCACAAACACACACTTTACGTGGCTGGGGTTTTTAGCAGCTAACGACAATGCGGTGGGGCAATACGAAGAGTGGGCGTGGCTGCCCATCTACATTGTTGCATAAATTGTGACGCTAGATGGAGTGAAAGGCACTGGAAGAAATCTCTTTCGTAACTCATCAAAGGGTGAAGCACAAATACAGCAACGTAAAGGAATTAAAACAAATTACGAAAATTTACTGATTTATTTCACTTTAAAATGAAATGTTACATAATTAAGGTAGATTTTCTTTCTCTGTACCATATCTCCTGTTCCCAGACCTTTCTGTTTGCGGCCCCCTTAACCAGGTAATGGCGGTTGAGCTCAGCGAACAGCGGTGAATGTGTGGCATTTGCGCCTGCTTTTGTAAACGAAACGCATTGGCATACTTTCGCCGTAGGCCTTAGTTCCCAGCCATTCGGATCTGTTCAGTTCCAGATTCTGTTTCTGTTGCAGGTTCAGTTTCTGTGGCCGCGAGCTGAGAGCAAATGGAAGAATCGATTCCAGGCGAGAGGCATTTGAAATTGTTTTTTTTTTTTGCCAAAATCTGGAGCTGCATCTCTTTGCAGTTCTGCGCATTTTTGTGGCTGCGGCAATAGTTTTAGTTTCAGCAGCACTTTCAGCTGCGATTCGAATCGCGATTGGAATTGTTTTGTGCCGGCAGCGACATTGCGGTTGACAATGAGGAGCAGCTGGAAACGTTGTCACCGGCGACTGATATATGCATGCACTCCATTTCCCAGTCAGAGCACTAAATTTGTTGCATTATTTTCGGCGGACACGGAGCCCGCACATGCAGCGTTTTCTCATTTCCGTTGCGTGGTTGCAGCTTCTATGGCAACTTGGCAACTCTGCTTTCTCTGCTGCGGTTCACTTTACACGCCAGACCATTTTTCCCACGATTCTGCTGGCGAAAGTGTTCAGTGGAGAGCGAAATTCAGGGGTGGATTCAGTAGTTTTAAGGAGTTTAAAATAAAATATAATTACCAACTGCAAGATATATTTTCTTACAATAATGATAAGAAACAAAATGAGTAACTTAAAATATTTACTTATTTCTCATTTTCCCCTTAAAATCTGAGTACTTCCGCCCCTGGCAACAGCAATAGTTGCAGCAGCAACACCGGCAGCAGCAGAAGCAATACTTGCAACAGCAGCCACACTTTGTTTCATTAAAACTTTTGCCACGTGTCGTGGGTGCATGTGTGTGTTCTGGGAATGCTGGTGTCGGAGTGTTTGTATATGATCAGCATCTTTGCTTGTTTTGCCATTTGTTTAGTGTTTACTCGCCACCTGCCACGCCCCCCGCCACCTCGCTAGTTCCAACCGCCCACCAGGCGCGCTATCTGCATTTCAATGCATTTTAAAATATGCATAGCGGGAGGTAAGGTGGAAAAACCAAGAAGAACTAACCAAAAAACGAAACTAGGAACAAATATTTTAGTTTACTAGGGGAATGTTCATTACATTTTCTTTTTGTTTTTTTGGTGGATTTTTATATTTTCTGTTTTTCTTT